ATTGACAAATTTCTAACCAAGAGCATTAAGCAAGAGGTACAATTTACGGCATATGGTTTCTTTGCAATAGACAATTCCACACTCTTCAAGGTTAGCTATTCATTAATTGCTTATCGGTAGTTTGAACCAAAATAACATTTCTCGCACTTTTATTCAGATATTTTCAGCGGTCACAACATATTTGGTTATTTTGATTCAATTCAAACAGTTGGAGGACTCGAAGTTGGAGGAACAAGAAGCAGTTTAAATTTCAATTTCTAGACTGTTTAATTTTATTAGCTATGTATTTATTATTATTACAAAATCTTACGTCAATTGAACTAACTGCATATATTGACTTATATATATACTTATTAGTTCCACAAATCAAGCACACAAATACATGAACAGAAATGCATTAAGATTTTTTTTTTTTTTTTTTGAAAGTAATTAAGAAACCGACGCTAGAGAACCCCACTTAAAGTTTTTAATACACTTATGCAGCACTAGCAAAGATCTAAAGTACTTACATACAAATTTAGGATAATCAAATTTGGGGGAAATGTTGACCCAAAATATACTTTTCCTGCTGCCTGGTATGTCTTGGCTCTAGTTAAGTGTGAGCAAGTGACTAAATATTTTGCTATTCAACTAACAGTTCAGGACTTTGGACTTTCGACGAGTTTCCCCAAACAGGAATGAACAGATGCGATCCAATGCAAAGGCGCCAACAATATCCACAACGAGTGCCACAAGCAATGTTTGACGGAACTGCAATTAAGCAATCATAAATGTTAAAGCAAAAATTTCGATATTGAAATTGTTAACATACATTGGTTGGAAAGTCGACGATTTCAAAGAATTGTGTCAAGCCGGGCACAATGCCTGTGGTGAGGAACAGCACCAAGGCAGCGGAGGCGCCAATGGCGCACATTAGCATTCGATTCGCACGCAGACTCTCCATAAACGGATGTCCCTGAAATTCAAAAATTGTATTAGTACAAAATGCGATAATCGATATTCGATATTATTAGTAATGAGTAAATTTATCCATCGTTAAACAGAAAGTATCGACAGAACTAGATTATGAACTCACCTTATAATTGACGGCAATTGTTGCCACCTGTAGCGAGACACAAATGATATAAACCGTGCTACTGACTATATTTGGATCATATTTCGTTTTCTCCTCATTATCCATGTCAATATACAGTTTCACTTTGCCCACTCTGTAAAGGGAAATAAATATGTACAGAGATTATTAGCTTGTGCTTTAGCAAATATGTTTAAAACGGGGATTCCCCTCATTTACCGTGGAGGCGCCAGCGCCGTTGCTTCACTGGTCAGATAATAGAGTGTGCCAAAGTGCACAGCGAACTGTGTTAGTATAGTCGATATGGTGTACAAATTGAATATGTTGGGCAGTGGTGCTACCTTCGATAGGGTTTTCAATGGCTGGAAATGACAAATGACAATGTTAGCATGATTAGCTGAATAGGGATTACCGAGCGCAGCTCACCTTGGAGCGTGTTATAAAAAGAAAGCAAGCCGCTATGAATATGCCCTGCATGGTAGCTTGTGTGTCGCTGAACTTAACACCATCGATATAGAGTACCGATTGGCAATAGGCTTGAATAAGAGCATTTAAGGCCAAGATCTTGAACATTTGCAAAGTGGTGACCAGCGTGCAGCGACCCTGCTTGATGATATGATTCACTAAGGGGTAGAAAAGCTAATTTTAGACAGTTTTTAACATATACTGTAATACTAATAAGCCAACGTACCACACATAATCGAAGATAGTTTACTAGTGAACGGCGCTGCTATAGATGCATCGCCCAGCTTAACCATAGTCTGTTCATCCATGTCCCGCAGGGCACTCTGTAGACGCGCTTGCGTCCGGTCGATGTGCTCCTGTCGCCTTCTCAAAGCTCGTTCCCGTGGCGACAACTGTTGATTGGCAGCCACAGCAGCTGCAGCGGCAGCTGTTGCAGCAGCATTAATCTGACGCAGTTCCTCATCCGTGCGTTTACGTTTGACTGGAGCACTGGTCAGCAAGGAGACACCAACATGGGCATGCTTCAGAGCGCCCACATCGTTGGTGCCATCGCCACACATTAGAGTATAGTAGCCCAGTTGCTTCAGTGTCGTAATGATATATTCCTTCTGCTTGGGTGCAAAGCGCGCACAGACCGTCATCTGGGGCAGCACTTTGAGCATATACGAATGATGAGCCTGCTGCAAATACAGTAACCCCTCGCCCGTAATGCACAAATCATTGGCGGCCAATAGCATTGAAATGTTCTTATCGCCCTTGACTTCATCCAATGGATAGGTGCGATCCCCGTCGATAGATACCCAGCTCCAAGTATGAGACGATTCATTTTGAGGAGGTGTCAGAATGAGCAGCTTCTTGTTTGTAAACCGCAGCTCGCGAGCCACATGGCAAGCAGTCAACGGACTGTCACCTGTTATCATCAGCACCTTGTGAGAAGACTGAACAAGCTCCTTGATAACCGCCTTCGAGTCCGGTTTCATTGGACAGGAAATGATCACAAAGCCAGCAAAAGTTAGATCGCATTCCACATCCTCGCGTTTTAGCTCGCGTACGCGCTGCCCTCCCAAGCTGCCGAATTCCTTGATGCCCAAAGCCATGACACGTGCGCCCCGACGAGCGTATTCCAAATAGATCTAGAAATAATATAGGCAATATAGAGGAATATAGGTATACTCAAATACTCTTTTACTTTCTAGACGTACCTTTTCATAGTCTGCGGGAACTTCCTTCAGCATGCCCATAATAACCTCTGGAGCACCTTTGACCGCTCCAATGTAGTTGATCTCATTTGAGAAGGGTATCAAGTAGCCGGCCAGCACGGACATACGCTTCAAGGCGGAAGAGAAATAATAACGTTGAACTATGCGCAGAGGCTTCAACTTGCCGCGCTTCGGAATGACGCTGTCCGACTTGGTTAGATTCCAGTCCACGGCAGCCAATGCGGCTTTCTCTAGAGGATCGCCCACCAAGCCATCGTCAAGCAATGCTAGCGAATGACAACAGGCGAGCACCTGCACCGTACTATCCTCAGCCTCATCAATGGGCACACATTTCCCGTTGGACGCCAATCCAGCGATGCCCTCTACCATTAGGTTATCCGTAGTCAAAGTGCCAGTCTTATCGAAGCAACAAATCTGAACTTTTCCAGCAAAGGGAATGCGAAAAGGTTCCGTGCAGAAGACGAATAATTTCGTTAACTGAATGAGCGACGTGTTCACAGCGAGCGTTAACTCGATTGGCAAATCGGGCGGAATAATCGACGTCAATATTAAGGCGCATTCCAAAAATAGTTTGTAACGATTACGCTCTGGATCCTCGCTGCCCTTGACCCAAACATAGGAAGCAGCTGCCACAGCGAATACCATGAGGAAGGCGATAAACGCAAATGTTTCTGCATTATTCTCCGTCGCACGATTCGCACCAAAGAGAATGGTCCGCAACAGTTTGCCCTGAGAAGTGTTGAAGCCAGTGCGTATAACGTAGCCAATGCAGCCGCCATCGGGTGCGCGCATCGATTCCTTGCTGGGTGCTGTATGCTGCACCACCTTGGTGCCGCCAAACAGCACTGTGAGCTTACCCTCTCCCTCGGCATCGAGTTCAGTATTTAGTTCCTGCAGCGATTCGAGCGATTCCTTCATCTGTGGCACCGACTCTCCAGTCAGCATGCTCTCATCCACAATGCAACTGCCACGCAAGACAACCACATCGCAAGGCACTATATTGTCATTCTGTGAGCGTGTTATGGATACCAAATCTCCTGGCAGAAGCTCATCGCTACCGATTTGCCGCCATTTGTTCTGTCTCAGCGCGTATATCAGATATGGCTTGTTGCCCATTTTACGTATTTCGGACATGTTGCGCAACTGTTGCTTAACAATCGTGCACTCGAAGGCAATCAGCATGAAGAGCGTGAAGAGTGAATAGTACCAAAAGTCATCCATGCACCACAGTCCCACAGAGAACACCTGGAAAACGAAAAACGGTGCGGTAGCCCGTTCGATAAATAGTTCATGGAATTCCGGTACAACCATGTCCATTTCATTGTTGCCGTAGGTCTGCATTGCTGTTTTGATAGCCTGCTCCGTCTCCAATCCTCGGGAGCTCGCATAGCTGCTCAACAGCTTATTTACTGGGAATTGCACTGCACGAAAGATCGCCTTATCCTCATCCCAAACGTATTTTGTCTTCTGAAATACCAAATAGTATTGCAGGTCTCCATTTTCCAGCTTCAAGTGTCGTATAGGCACAATTTTCGAATTGCCATTGTTCGCTGTGGGCACCACTTTCGCCAGAACACCAGCTGCCGGCTTCTTGACGCGACGGCAGGTGAGAAATGCTAACACGTGTACACTCCAATAGCAAAAGAGCATCGTTAGTATATGCAGAAAGGCAATGGCCACCACCGCAATGAAACCAATATCGTTCCAGGCTGCATCTTCACTTCCACTCTCGTTCTTTGAATTGTGCACGTCATCTCCATGCCCTTTGTACACGTAGATCCATAGATAAAAGGCAGTCAAATACAGCGGTACAAATGGCAAAACGACACCACTTATGAGCGTCGGTTTGCGCACATGTAATGTCACATATTGTACTAGATCGTCCAGTGCGGCTGTTGGCAGTTGTTTGAAGTTATTTCTATTGGTTTTTTTGTTATTGTTGTCGCCGGCAGCGCCGCCCGTTGTGGCCGCTACAGCGCTCATCAGTGACGTTTGCTTGCTGCACTTTGATTCCTTCCCTAGTTCGCAGCTTGTGTGAGCGACGTGTTTTCACCCACTTGAACTATTTAATTCACTTCGATGTGCGTAAAAAAAAAGAAAAGTAAAGTGTGTAAAAAACGCAACGTTGCCCGCACAGCTGCTTGCGTCGCAGTGTGTGCAATTCAGAAAAAAAACTATGTGTAATATTTACTCGTTTGTACACACTGTCAACATTACAATCTATATCGAAATATCGATATAAAAACATTATACATCAGCCCTAGCTAACAACTCTGTGCAGACAATTTACAAACTTCTGCGTTTCTATTATTATTGTAAAATTAATTGACGATTTATTAAACTTTAAATTTTGATTAAAAGAACAGTGTAAAATGTAAAAATGCTCAAGTACATTAAAAGGCAGACGAGTAAGTGATACGAGCATGCAGCTAATGATAAGAAAACACCTGCAGTGTTTGTGTTTATGTTTTTGCTGATGGGTCGAATTTCTATTTTAATTTGTAATTTGTTTTCTTTTTTTCCAACAGGTCGCCGACGCAGCTCTCACGATGCAASTGATGATGATGATGTGGTCGATTGTGCAGCAGTGGCAGCGGCGCAAAAGCGTAATTCGCTGCGCTCCACAACAAGTTTCTGYGATGAGGTGTTCATGGAGGAGGAGGAGACGGAGGCAAACCCAACTTCGGATGCAATTAGCTTAAGCAACAAAAGTTTGAATGTGGGCGCAGTTGCTGATGAAGGTAATGAGGCAAATGACAACAGTCCGTGTGTGTGTGTGTGTGTGGGTAATGTATCTGCGTGTGTATGTAAATACGGTTACATATGTATTCGTGGTGTGTGCGAATGAGAAGAACAAGGAGCAGAGGGTAAATAGATGGGAAATAATTTGTGCTATGTGTGTGTTTGAATATGTGTATTTGTTGTTGCTGTTTTGTTTACGTTTCCGGCGTGTCATAATTTGCGCTCTTTAATTGATTACTTTTTTCATTGCAATTTTATGGATCATTCTCTTTTTTTTTATCACTGTGCAGCTATATTCGAATACAGCTCGCGCCTCTCCATGTCTCTAAAGGCAATTATCAATGAGCCGGATTGTCTTAGCTACTTTATACAATATTTGGAGTCTCAAAATGAGCTGCCCCTAATCAAATTCTATTTGGACATTGAGAACTTTAAGCGGGCGGCCTTAACACAAATGCCTAACCTGGAAGAGGAGAATGCAACTGCTGATGAAATCGAACCAGCAGTAGATAGCTTCACACTGGAAGCTGAGCAGCACAATGTACCTGAAATAAAAACCCTTTGCGATTTGTCCATGCGCAAGCCGCTCACCGATGACGAGAAGAGTCGCATCTACGCAGAAACAAACAAGCAGATGAACAATAAACCCAAATCGAGTGCAGAACTGCAGCCCATTAGTGCAGCAAGTATCAACGATGCCATAGCCATTTATCAAAAGTATTTAATTGTAAATGCGCCACTACCCGTGGAATTACCCATTGTCAACCTGGCACACATCTCGCTGTACCTTTGTAACAAGGATAGCGAAAAAGGATTGCAACAGGCAATCCCCGCCAGCTGCTTCGATGAAGCGCGCGACTATGTGCTGCAGCAGCTGGAACAGAATCATCTGCAGAATTTCCTGCAGAGCAGCTACTACTGCAAATACTGTGTGGAGCTCATCGAGGGAGAGGCTAGCCTTAATATATACGACGTGCTCTACGACGAGCTAGCTCTATTCTATCTGACGGAATATCTCGAGCAACAGCAGGAGCGCGAATGTCTTGAGTTCTGGATCACCGCAATCAACTTTCGCAAGAGCTGCGATGATCAGAGTGTTGCACAATCAGATGCTATGATCATATACGACCGCTATTTCTCTTTGCAATCAGATTGTCGCCTGTGGATGTCACAAAAGATGCGACTACGAGTAGAGCAGGCAATTTGTGCACCTGCTCAGCTGGCACATGCCTTCGATTTAGCCTTACTCGTTACAGCAAAATATCTGGAGCAAAAGCACTTTGCCAATTTTCTGAAATCAAACATATTTGATAATTATGTTAACGAACTGAAAGCCAAGACGGGCATGCAGAGTGCAACGGACGTAAAAGATGGATCAGGTTTGCAGCACAAGCTAAGCCTGAGACGTTCAAAGAATGTCAACAATCAGCAACGGCATCGTAAGACCTTATCCATGTCTGATTGCCAGCATCTGTCGCAGCATAACACACTTCTAGCAGGTCTTGATACGGGCCACAAGCCACTGAAATCTTCAAATTCGGGCACAGCAAATATGAACATCGATTCCAGGCAGTTGACTAATCCTCAATTGCTTTGGCAACGTCCTGTTAACTCACTCAAATTTGGCCATGTCAATTCGCTGGGCCGATACGAGCGAGATTTCGATTCTGTGGATGCTGTTGCCTCACAAAACAAAGCGCCAGCCTGGTCGCTGAGCGTTAAGAATGCAATGCGCAAGCTGGTCAATCTACCGGAGGATAATGTGCAAGAGGAGATCGCCTGGCAGGTGGCCGAGATGATTGTTAAGGATGTGACTAGCGTGACGCTGCAAAACAAGAATTGATTCAATATTGATTTATTTGCTGCTAAGCAAAGTATTGATTCAATATTTATTAGTTAGTAAGCAAAGAAAACAAAATCAAAATTATTTATGATTTGGGCTCAAATACTTGATATGAATCTCGTGCACAAATCGAATGTGAAAGCTTTCGCTTTTTTACCCTACAAAACCCTAAACAAAACTTAGAACAGCTCTCTCTCGTTCAGTCTACACTGCTGAAAAAAACTATGGAACAAACACAAATTAATTTAATGTAAACATATTTAGATTTTTCTATTTTACACAAAAGCTCTCTTAAATGCTCTTATGAGGGTAGTCTGAAATTATTTTCGACTTTACAATGAAGAAAATTAAATTATTAATCTATATATTTATATTTATTGAGACCTACCCTCATTTATGATTTATGAATTTCAAACGATCGCTCTCTAAGATTTTACTCTCTCATACATTCGACACTTGTCTAAAATATGAACACTTTTAATCTTGTATTAAACACAGACGCTAATCTATATAATTTGCAATTTGAAAAGTAAGCTTTTTGAAAGCTCTTTAAAAATGCAACTTTATCTAGTTCACTCACTCATTTGTTATGTAAAGCACACAGACACAAATACACTCATGAACTTAACGAAAGTTTCCTTCAGTTGGTACCTACAAAAAGTATATTTTTAACTGAAATTTCAGTTGTTTTTTATTTAAATAATATTTGCAGGATAACTGCGAAACAAATTAAATATTATATCTTTCATTCCAGAAATTTAATTTTTACATAGTATATAAAATAACGCGTATACATAACATATTTTTGCATACCGAAACTATATAACAAAATACATTGTTACAAAATAAACTTTTCTATATGACAAGAGATTGTTAACTGTTTTCAAAATATTTGTATATAAGTATTTTAAAGCATAAATTATATAACCTCTATTCCGAGGTATTCACAACTCTTAAATCTGAGGAATAGAACCTCACTTATCCTCCTCTGGCTCCTCCACGGGCACATTTCCCGTTTGGCTGAACCAGCGCAGGATGCGTAACATCGTCTTGGCGGAGTATAAACAGAATGGATATTCATTGTAGCAGCGATCACTGCGTCCACGTAACGCCAGTCCTCGACTAAAAGCGCGTCCAATTTTTGCTGGCGCCATTTCTAAGGAGGATTCCATAAAGTTCATCAGCAGCTCCGCCTCCTCGGAGTGGGCCTCTGCACCAGACATCAGCTGACAGATGAGCGATTGTAAACACTCGAAGGGATCGCGCGCAAGTATGCGTTTCCAATCTATGGAAGCTGTGGCACTGTGATGCACTGCAGCATTGCTGCCACCTCCTGTATCCTGTCTCCCATGGACCCAGCCTAAAGCGCGACTCTTGGTATCTCGCTTGCTACGTTGCAAGCTAAAGGCCGAGCTCGCTTGACCAATAAAATTTGGCAACTGTTGCAGGTTCAACGTCGTGCCCACCTGACCAGCTAAATTTGAAATCTGCTGTATGGGTCGAATGCGATTCCAATCCTGTGCCAACAGATGCATCATATACATAGCACCTAAGCCCATGGCGGCCAATATAAATACACTGTAATAAAAATATACAGAAAATAGTACAAGTATGATCAAATTAAAAAAAAAAAGTCTCAGCTAACTAATAATTTTTCGCGTATACATATACACGTTTGCATACATTTAAATTTGGTACTCATTGCTAATCGTTTTCTTAAGTCTTATCGATACTTTTGTATGGGGGAATCAGTTTCTTTTATTTAGTCAACACTTCCAAGAACATATCGATTAAGCAAACAAAATCGATATTGATAAGCATAGCAAACACGTAAAACAATTGATAACAGCATTGCGCGCACTTCTTTTGAAGGAGGCTTCTCTTCCTTTGCTTCTTTTCGATTTAATTTATATAATATCCACTCAAAATTTTAAATTGATGTTTTATAATAAAGTTTTTTGTAAGCATGCCCAAGTTTTCACTTGAATATCCAGTTGTAGGTGACAAGGATTGAGTATCCACTTACCGTATTCCCATAGCAGTTGCTGTTTGCCGTTTTCTGTTCGCTGTTTGCTGGTATTTAAAAAACGCGTCCGTTTGATTGCGTGGTCAGCGCTTCAATGCGGCACCTTGTTGCGCGTTTTCATGGTTAAAGCCGCCTCGATCGCCTCAACGAATTCGGCTAACGAACTAACAATCTTTTTTTGGCCACAATTAAACCAGCCCAAAGGCTCACAACTTTCCGCCATCGAGAGTCAGGCAGGCAGTCATGACATAATCGCCAAAGACATCCACGTCCAATCAAGATGCAGGCTTCAATTTTGTTTGGGCTCTCGCCACAAACTGGTTCGTTTGCTTTTCAATTGCGATTTTCGTACACTTTTCTTACATTTGCCGTGGATGTGGATGTGGTCAGGCAACTAGTTTTTCCGCCTCCCACTTGGCTTGGCATTTCATTGTTTTTAACCATTTCTTCGTTTGTTATTGTTTGTTGTTGTAGCTTTTATTTGAGCCAGTTTCAATGTTGCGGTCAACAACGGAAAAAATGTTTGAACTTTATGCATGACCATCTATGACCATGGCAGTGGGTCACATAGCAAGTCCTCGTCGAATGCCAGCGGGCAATAGTAAAAATTTCATAAATTTGTAATCCCATCAGCTTAATCCATTGGAACCCAATTGAGTGCTCAATGTCAAACTACGGAAATGGAAATCCATATCAAAGAAGAGGAGAGGAGAAGAGTTGGAATGAGATTGGACTGCATGACTGTGGGATTCTCTGTAAATAATTAAAAAACAGGTATAACTAGTGAATAATTCTAATTCATGCTAATTTTCGATATTTGATAAGAAGAATAATACATATTAAAAGATATTAAAAAAACTTTGTAAAAATGTAAAGAAATCAAATAAGTGTTGATAGATATACAATATATCACTTAAGGAACCATCTGAAAATCCTAAATTGTCCAAGTAATACGAAATGAAATCACAATCTTACAAATTTAAGAGCTCTTTCTTCTACTAGCAATATAACAAAGATATGAGGAAATGTGGAAACTATGTCGGACAGAGATAAAAGCCAAAACACTGTTAAGCCAACAAATCGAGGCAAGATAAATATTACTACTCCTTAAGAGCAAAAGCTGCAATCTGTGTGCAGAAAGCTTTTTGTTGCTCGACGACTATAAAAGAAAGTTACACCCAAGGCTGCGCTTTAGTCGTCTGGCAGATTTGCCAAGCCGCAATTGGCAAACGCAAAAATAAAACACTGACTTCAATTTTTAGCGGGTAACATTTATCGGTTATCGGTTAACATTTAACGGCCAATGCAACAGAACCGGCTAAGTCGGTGGCAATTCGTGAATTACGTAACAGTTGCAACGAAAGTGAAAGCAAACAGTAACAGCATCGCATGTTGCATCATTTGGTTGCAACAACAAGCCAATAAACAAAATGTTTTACGCTGTCATCTTCTTTTCAACAATTGTGCTGCTCTTCCTAATCAGCGGCACAAGGAAACCAGATAAATTTCCACCAGGTAATTTTTCGAAAATTTTAAATTAATGAAATCGGGCAAATATATAAAATGCTATTTTTTGGTTTTTTCTTTTTCATATATCAAATATGAAAATTGCATGCATGTTTTAAGCATTTATGCAAAAGTATAAGTCTTGTAACTTTAATAAAACCAGAATAAAATATAAGAAAAATGATCGAGTTTTGAACATGTTATGTAAGTTTGAATTTAACTTCAGGATCTCTCGATCACCATGTTCATTCAAACAAACAACTTTTTGAAAAAGAAATGCCAGTTGAGCTGGACTGAACGGGTTAGCATCTAGCCTGATATCTGTAGGATAAAGTTAAATATGTATTATATACCTAATCATCTTTTCCTATTGTCAGGTCCACGTTGGTATCCCATTGTGGGTAGTGCACTGCAAATCTCTCACCTGCGCATGCGATTGGGCATGTTCTGCAAGGTGATCGATGAGCTGGCCAGGCGCTATGTGAATCCCTACGGATACTATGGACTGAAGATTGGCAAGGACAAGGTGGTGATAGCGTATACCAATGAGGCAATCAGTGAGATGATGACAAATGAGGACATTGATGGACGCCCCGATGGCATCTTCTATCGGCTGCGCACATTTAATTCCCGTCTGGGTGTTCTCCTCACCGACGGAGAGATGTGGGTGGAGCAGCGACGTTTCATCCTGAGGCATTTGAAGAACTTTGGCTTTGCACGCAGCGGCATGGTGGACATTGTGCACAATGAAGCCAGCTGTCTTCTACAGGACTTGAAGGCCAAGGTCATGGCAGCCGGTGGGAAGGAGGCCAGGATCGAGATGCATGATCTGACTAGTGTCTATGTGTTGAACACCTTGTGGCGCATGCTGAGTGGAAGACGGTATGAGCCCGGCTCAGCGGAGATAACGGAGCTGTTGGAAACTTTCTTTGAATTGTTTAAGAACATCGATATGGTGGGGGCGCTCTTCAGTCACTTCCCTCTGCTTCGCTTTATTGCACCTGATTTTTCCGGTTACAATGGGTTTGTGGAGAGTCACAGGGCTTTATACTCGTTTATGGGCAAGGAGATTGAGTTGCATAGAAAGACATATCGCAATTATGATGAGCCGCGCGACCTGATGGACAGCTATTTGCGCGCCCAGGAAAAGGATAAGGAGAATCCCATGTTCAGCGATGAGAGTTTATTGGCCATATGCTTGGACATGTTTCTCGCCGGTTCGGAGACGACCAACAAAAGCTTAGGCTTTTGCTTTATGCATCTGATTAGACAGCCAGAGATACAGGAACGAGCTTTTGCTGAGATTAAGGATGTGGTGGGGTTGGAGCGCATACCGGAATGGTCGGATCGGAGCAAAATGCCTTACTGTGAGGCCATTACATTGGAGGCGGTGCGCATGTTTATGCTGCACACCTTCGGTATTCCTCATCGTGCTTTGTGTGATACGCGCCTATCCGGCTATGAGATACCCAAGGATACGATGGTAATTGCCTGTTTCCGTGGCATGCTTATCAATAGTTTTGATTTTCCTGAACCGGAAGTATTCGATCCGGAAAGATATCTCGTTGGTGGACAAGTCAAACTGCCAGAGGCATTTAATCCATTCGGCTTTGGACGACATCGTTGCATGGGCGACTTACTGGGTCGACAGAATTTGTTTATGTTCACCACAACGCTGTTGCAGCACTTTAAATTGGTTGCCATTCCTGGCCAAATGCCCGAAGAGGTGCCGCTCGAGGGTGCCACGGCAGCGGTAAAGCCATACGATGCCATGCTGGTGGCCAGATCATGAGCAGCTTTCAAGGAAATGCAATTTTTGTTTAAAATAACAATAGCAATAACGGCTATGGTTTTGCAATGAGCAACGGTCGATATATATCATAGTCTACCATTTTATACGCTTTATACACCACACTTGATCAAATGTTATCGATATTTAGTATATGGTTATGCGGACAACATTATCGATATTGAATTAATTAGATTATTCTTGGTACGCAAACGCTTACATATATTATATATGCATTGAGCTGAAGTAAATATTCATGCGCCTGCATACCTATCTTGAGTAACTAACTAATCAATCAATGGATTATCCACAACTCCCACTTTTGGTTTTTAATCATTCATTATTGAACACAATATTTTACTACATTCTCTAATTATTTTATGTTTGAATTCTCACATATAACTATTATTGTTCATATTTGTTAATGTTTTTCTTTTGTTACATATATAGTCTACAAAGTTGTCATTTAGGTTATTTTCTTTCGTCATTCGATTCACATCATTTTATCAATTTCAGTTTTGATCAATTTAATTTGATTTTTAAATTGGCCTTTTGATATTTCGCACGTTCTTCAGCAAACAACAAAAGCATTTCGCATTGTGCATACATACAAATTAGATTTAAGCACTAAAAGTACGATACAAATACAAATACATATATATATTTATATAAATATATATATGGCATATATGTATGAAAAACAATTTATCAGCTTAGCAAATATTATACAAATGTTATTTCCACAAATTGCATTGAATTGAATTTTCTATATGTATTAAGAATGCGCATTCCAACAATATTTCATTTGCCTTTTCTTCTTCCACACGAATTGCATAAATTTTTGTTTTGTTTGTTATTGTTATTTAAAGCTATTTGTTTAGGTTTTTGTGATTTATGCTTGGAAAACAATTGTTGCTCGAAATCTTTCGATCGGCATTTTGTTATATATATGTACATATATATATTTTTTTTCTTTTCTTTTTTATTTTAAAATTTGAAATTTGTGTGTTGATATATTCTCACTCTTGAGCCTGCTGCTAGACACTGGGCTTACATGATCTAATTAGATATATATATATATATGTATATATATATGGTGTATATATGTATGTTTTTATGTACGTATGTGTGTGAAAAACGCTAACAATTGTCACATAAAAGCAAAGCCAGCGTTAACTTATTTGCATATTTTAAGCATTTCAATAAAGTAACATTAACTTCATCTTACACATGTATGTATATATGTATGCATGTATATCTAAGATGATTTCATTAATTGTTGCACACATGATCTTGGTCCAGGATTCCAACGCGCGAGAGGAAGAGTACACAGTATATGTATGTATAAACTATAAATTTACGATTCAGTTGAAGTGAAATAAATAAAGTGATTCGCAGCTGCAGCACAGGCTGCTGAGCTATTTCGTTTGGGGGGATATGTTCAGTTCTAGAAATAGAATTAGGATTAGGATTAGGATTAGAGACTAGAAGACTAGCAAAAAGCATTCAACATTTGTGCAACATCGAAATTTGAGACAATATACAAATACAATTTGTATGCATACACACATTCGCTAAAATCAAAATAAACAACTAATGAAATTCCCTAAAAATGTTGCAGCAGTTATTTCTGTTTGAGTTCATTTTTGTATATATAGATATCGTTGCTTTCATCTCCTAATCTTAGTTTTTACGCCACACAAAAGTTGGGAGCTGCTGGGCACAGCAGCAGGCGACTATATAGAGTATCCCAAAGAAGAAGTTGAGTTTTGCCGTCTGCCGTGGCACCGCAGCCATCGTTTGCTCGTTGCGAAAACGTTTCTCGATTTGAAATGCTTGTGGGAGCGTTATTAACGGTAACAGGAACCACAGAGAATACTTCAGTCCAAAAATGAAGAAAAGCGAATAGGGTGTGAAAAGCAGCATGGCATAGAGAACATGGGAGGCAGTCCGTCCAATGAGTATGGCCAGCGTCACAATGCCGGCTTTGCCATCACTTTCCGCATCTCGCGTATTATTGCTATGCAATATGGCCTCTGTATTGAGAGCTAGTGGTATGGCATAGCCCATTGTTGTCCAGTCCACGTGACCCGTTTGCGCCATGAACGCAAATAGCACCGATGTTGGCCCGAACAGTATTAAGATGACGAGATCCCCGAGTGCAATGTATTTGAAACCAATGCCTCCCGTATAGAGGAAACTCGACGATAGGCCGCCAAAGTAGATGAGTGCCAAGTGTTCCATTTTAGCTGGACTCAGCACGGCGAGCAGTACAAAGCCTCCACATCCCGCCAAATACAAAATAGCACCCAATGAAACTACCTAAAAATAAACAAACAGAATCAATTAAAATTGAGTGACTAACATTTTGGACGATACTGTATAAGCATTGATGTCTTCGCTTACCTCATCCTTGGTGAGTATATGATCGACCAGAGTGCGATCGTCAGCCTTTTGTTTATCGATACCTTTAATGTAGTCAAAGTAAGTATTGACCACATTGCCGGCGCAGTGCACCGTGACGACAGTGAAGGCGGTTAAGAAAAATGTGAGCATGGAAAAGTCATCCGACCATTGCGAACGATATGCCAAGGCGGACCCGAGCAGCGTGGGCACTAAACTGGCTGACAGCGACCAAGGACGCAAGGCGAGCAAATAGGTTTTTAATTTCATAAACGTGCCAGAGCTATGATAGTTGGTGCTAATTGATGAAGCTGCTTTCCCATTTGACTTAGCCTCGTGACTGCCGTTCAATAAACGCTCCCGGAGCAGCTGCTGAGAGGCTGCGACATCCTGCTGTTCGTCTTCGCTTCGACTTGTTGCCATTTCTCGCGCTGCTATTCAACTGCCAACTGGAAACTTTGCATTCACCAGCTGTGAATAATTTTCGGCGCCGATCTTGTATAAATTTTGTTGGCACTTATTCTTTTGTTTACAATAGTTTAAATATATTCCTGCCGTCTGTTCAATTCACTGCTAAAATCGTATACACAGCATTTTGTATGTGTGTAAATCGGTTTGTGTCTGTATATATATAAATATGTGTATGTGTGCGTTGCTAGCTGTGTGTAGGGGCAGGGGCTGCAGCTCCAACAACAACAACAAATTTCACCAAACAGCCTGCGTGCTCCAAATCCAAATTGCGAGTCGTCACACTCTAGCCGCACCACCTGCGCCGCACCGTAGAACTTGCATGCAGGCAACACTCACACGCTTTATTGTTATAAAATATATGTATATATAATTAAATTTCACTTAGTTCTTATTTATTTTGCAAGCAATAATATCAGATTGCCTAGCGAGAGAAGAGAGAGCCTAATCAAACAAACCAACTGTCACGTCAGCGCTTGCAGAGTTCGGTCACACTGGCTAATTTAGTGTGTTTAAAGAAAGAGATTTTGCAGCACTTAAACTGGACAGTATGCTGCTCGTGATATTTGCTAGAAAACTACAAGGCTAACAAAGTCTATGACTGCTCATTAGTTGATTGCATTATATTGAACAGAATTTAAATTTAAAATTCGATTCAATTGATATTGTTACCTAAATCTACTCTTGCTTGTGTCACGACTGTTGGATTTAAATTTTGCTCACATTACACCCAGCCCTGACTATTGGACAACGATTGCTATCGGCGCAGCCCTAGTTCTTAACCAACAGCTGTTGGCATTTGTTTACATCCAAATATTAATCAAAACATTAAAACCATGGATTTTAATGTGCATAAAATATGTAGAGTGTGTCTGGAGGAAGGGGCGCCAAGCCCACTAACATCCATTTATAGCACAGACTTTGCAATGATGCCCTCACAAATGTTAATGATGTGCTCTAAGATTCGCGTAAGTTGTATGCAAAAAACTAATTGAAAATATTAAAAAATAAAAACAACTCTTTGCAGGTTTATAAAACGGACGGCCTTCCCGCGGGCATTTGTAATAACTGTCTGTACCGGCTAGGAGTAGCTTATCATTTTCAGCAGGAGTGTGAGAACAGCGACTTACGCCTGCGTCAATATTTGGGACTACATGAATCCTTTCGCCACGATGCAGCGACGAACACCGAAAGTGAGATTAAACCAATGCCTGCGAATGTGCAACTGAATTCCAGTGATGAGGAGGATGGCCAAGCGGATATAAAGCGCAGCAAACGACGCTCACGATACCAACGGAAACCGCCCGAGAGCCACAAAAAGCGTGGACCTAAGCCAGTGGCCAAACTGCCACACACCTGCTACGTGGCTACCTGCCAAAAGAGCTTCAAGTGTGCTGCACAGCTCACTCAACATATTCGTACACATACCGGCGAGAAGCCATATGCCTGCAGCTATTGTGCCCAGCGCTTTGCCCAGAAATACAATCTCAAAGTTCACGAGCGAACGCACACGGGGAACAAACCATTTCAGTGTGAGATCTGTTCAAAACAATTCTCAGCGCTGGGCAACTTTCAGGCGCATCAGAAGATCCACAGCGGCGTGCGGGATCAAATCTGCTCGCTGTGCCAGAAAGCCTTCTACACTGCCGGCGATCTGTCGAAGCACATGATCACCCACACGGGCATTAAAAATCATCATTGCGACGTATGCGGCAAGTCCTTCAGCAGACGTCGCGACATGCGCGCTCACAAGGTCAAGTTGCATCCGCTCGAATCGAGCACCGAACATGATATTGTAGACGACGATGATGATGAGCCCATCGATACGGATCCCGTGGGCTTGGATACCTTGGAGCATTCGCATTTCAAATGTCCCGATTGTGATAAAGCTTACGATTCGGCTGATAGCTTAAGTCTGCATTTCCGCACGCATGCGGTGAATAATAATTTATTGAATCTACCTTTGCCCGCACCGCCGCCCATGTCACATCACTACCACCACCATCACCCCGCTGGCGCACCCCCATCTACTGCTGCAATGCATCATCACGATGCACTACAACTGCATCATTTGGCGCCACCGAATGCAGCCACCCAAATGGGCATGGCGGCCATGGCCCATATGTTGGCACCGCCACCACCGCCTCCACCCACACCCAGCGATGGGCGTTACACAATGTTGCACCATACGGCGGCACAGCGACTGCACTACTAAAAATTCCTAATAAAGCAAGACTTAACTAAAAATTAATGTAGTTTTCAATTATTGCATAGACTCGCATGAATCTCAGATTTTGATTCTAGTCAAGAATACATTTAAGATAGACTTGAACTCGTTGAACTCTTCGTTTGGCTGTTGATATATTTTACTCTCTTTACACATCATCTATAAATGCACGGTAAACATCACTTGATATACCCTCGATGATCCACAATAATTACAGGGTATAGATATACACCCATATTCTACTTAAGTACAGTTTGATATTTTGTAATATATTGAACACTTTTGTTTAAGCATTACATATGCAATTATGTATATAAAAATGGAATTCTTTGTCATGTTTTTTTGTTGTTTGTACAATAAATATATAAAATTTGGCAAGCACAGCTTCTATAAGATCATTTGTATTGCTTCTTAAACTCTCAACTAAAATCACTTTATAAATTCATTACAAATACATTTAAATGTAAAACTATATACTGTTTGCTGCTTGCTTTTTGTTGGCATTGTATAAATAATTTAAAATGTATTATTTTGTTTATATAAAAAAGGAATTGTCATATTTGTTATATTGCTTTGCTTTGCTGTTTGGTATGTATCGTTATCGTTGGTATTTCGCTTCGGCTCCATTTAAAATATATATGAGAAACTATTTGTAAAATATTGCTTTCTATATATGAATGACGCGCAGAGTGTGATCTGCATCTACTTAAGCTTAGCCCTCAGCCAATCCTCGGTTAATTCATCCAATTCACGTATTTCGTACACTCGAGTCAGATCCACTTCTCTCTGCAGCGCGCTTTTTGTGCAGGCATACATCATTTGCAGTTCTATTTGACTGTCTCGCGGTGTGTAGAAGATGAAGCACATAGGATACGAAATACGCTGATCGTCGTGCACCATTTTATATGTGTAAATCACGTAGCGGGGCTGATGGCCAGGCAGTAAATCCTGCAGCTCCTCCACAGAAATATCATCAATGAACTCATCGAGCACCACCGATTGCTTCTCCCTATCAACTTTTACTGTTAGGCGGAAAGAGAAGGAAAGTGAAAGAGAAAGGGAGAAGATATATCAATCAACGGCCCGTTTGCTTTAGATACTTTGTTGTCATGGCAACATTCTATAAATTTTCCGCTTACATATCAGCGCTGAATTGGTTTTGCTTTTACGAAAGCGAAACTTTTTCAATTCCTCGAGCACCTCATTGCTAATGTCGCATATTTTGTTATCACCCTGCAATTGCAACAGTTTTAATTAGTTAATGCATTTAAAGAATAACAAATCTTATCGCCTCATCAACAGAACGCACAAAGCACGAAAAATTGGCCCGCCCACAGAGCAAAACAATTAGTCATTCTTTTTCATATGCTATGCGATGCATTGAGAGAAAATAAAAACTCTCACCATTTAGATTTATCTGCACTTGTATCTAAGAGTTATTTCAAAGTTATTTTTTCTTTTTTATAAACGAAAACAGCGGCAGATAACACAAATAATAAAAACCTTTTGCCGTATCCACCTTCTTTGTTTTGACTCAACACGAACACTAGATATACATATGTACATACACCTGTGGGCACCCTCATAACTTAACATTCACTCAAATGTTATTTCCAGCTGTTGCTCGTACTATCGATTAATGACAACAAGCTGTAATACCAATCAACAATAAAAGATATGAAATACATAAATTTAAAAAATTACTTAAAGAAATACGTTTTTTGAGTTTAATTAGAAAAATATTATCTTAACGAAACAAAATCTCTGTTAACGATCATTTCCACTATTAAAATTAAGTGCTGCAAAACGTGACATTTTTCCCGCCCAAAACATCAAATATGCTTAAATTTACCGTTCATTTATGAAACCGGCAACTAAATAGCGCCATGGCGCTAAAACAAGTTAACTTCAAAGGAAATAAGGAAATAAATCTCTTAAAACCCTGCTGGATAGCAGGCAATAAAAAATATTCAACAACGCAATTTGTAAAACAGTTTTCGCGACATGAAATTAACGAAATCGACGTGGTTGCAAGTTGGTAGGTCCGATGTTGCAAGCATAACTGCAAACTTTATAACTGTAAATTGATGTACTGAATATATTTGATAAAAAGCGAAAAAATATCCGACATTATTGAGACGAATCAGGTGAGGAGAGGAACCCTAAATAATGTAGTGGACACTCTGAGCTGTCGAGCGGTTACCTTCAAAGACATTGCGCGCCTCACTTTTGGAATTAATTACATATTAAATCAACAGGTTACCTCGCTACTGGGTAAATATAGTTATATAATTGCATTCCAGTTGCTATTCTAAAATCATAACTATTGTGTTCACCTAGATGATACCAAGCATTTGCTGGAGCAAATTATGAGGAACAAATTCGATTTAAGTCAACCGACGCAGCAAACAAATACGAATTTTAATTGCCGCAAAAGAAAGCAAATTATCACGAAGCACACAACGACTGTTTGTGTGGCAAAGAGAGCTAGAGTCAGAGAGCCGCAACTATTAGATGAGGAAAATGTAGATTATTATAGACATTTATTAACCGAATCTCAACAATGGAATATTGAGAAGGAAAATGTGGCAATCGAACAGGTAATAGTTTATATATATAAATGCAAAGTATGGTCTGACATTTTTGGTCTGCCTTGACATTTCAGTCACAAACTATAGAAGTGGCTCGCACTTGCTTACCCGAGCACATGATAAGCATAACGCACGAGCTAACTTTTACAGAAATGGAGCAGGAGACAATGTGGAACAATGGCTTTGGTGACTCCAATCAAGTTGATGTGACCGCGCTTGAAGAATTTCTGCCAGCCAGAAATGCTGGTAATATAATCAGCTATTCTTATCTATATATAGGTATTTATATATTTTTAGTGAAGCGCAAGTCGCTTGACCACTGTCCTACAGGTGTTTTGAGCTATAAAATGCCTAGATTAGAAACAGATGCAATTATGGAGCAGACAAACAATAGTCCTCAAAACTTGAATCCTTGTCAGCCGCTGGAGCAGGAGATGGAGCAGCTGGAATTGCCTCCACCAATTGTTATTACTCCACAAAAACCTAAAACTAAATCAAAACGCAAAAACAGAGTTATTAAAGATCAAATCATAAAATTATCAAGGGATGCTCTGCTCCGAGACAGGGAAATCTTTTTTAGAAGATTAACAAAAGGAAAATGGCGGAAACCTAAAATTATTAAGCACAACAATACCTGTGAGGTATTGCTAAATAGTTTTAGGCACAGGTTAGATTTTATTATTGTTTATAAATATTATTATAATGACATTGTTCGTGCAGTCAACTTTTTCCAGATCGTTTGAAGAGAGGGGTGCAGCTGAACAGTGAACAAGCTGAAGCGGCGTGTGAATCGACACTACGAGCTATATTAGGAGCTGAGTATAGTGATGAACTGTCCAGAGAGATACTGTCTATGAGACCTCTAAGTCCACAGCTCTTAAATACTTTAGAGATTTCTGCTTTGCCACCACTAGAGACAGAGCAACCTATTCAGCTCTCTCCACCTGCAATTGAGGGTCCACAATGCAATAACAACAATAATAATTCCTATACCACTTGCGATGACGATATTAAGAATATAGGTAGGCGGACGATGAGTTTAGTTGCGGCTTCTAGCTAACTAACTAATATTTAATCTCTCTTCAACAAAGATTCTTTGCGCATTATGATGCATTTGCTCAGCATATGGCGCTATAATCCCGATTTAAAGTGTATAAATGCCAACAAGTTTATCAAATCATATCCGGATCGCTTTAAAGCGGCCCTGGCATTCAATCATTTGTTATGTTAGTAACATAGATAAAAGTAAAATACGATATCTAATTTTTTCTTATCTCTTAGATCTTGCAAAGGAAGGCTTTATAGAACTCTCCACGAAGCCGGACTCTGTAGAGATAAACGAAATTACTTTAGGCGCAGAGTCCAATTGGCTTATTGAAGAAAACTTAACAACTTGCGAACAGTTTATAAATAATTGATTTCTAACTGTTAGTTAATTAACACTCGAGTGTTTATATTTGGTTTTGAAGTTTCTTTTTTTTTTCTCTATTTTTGTATAAACTTGTTTCTTGTTACTGTTTAAATAACTATAATTCATTAACATTTGTTTAATTCTCTAAATCGTTCTTTGTTTTGTTATCTTTCGTCTTAAACTCTTGTACCTCTCTAAATACCATTAAAACCAAAGCATATGAAAAACAAAATTCAATGAAAAACTAAAATTGAATTAAATGCCAATTTGCTGGGCCAGGCATGCATAAATATTCAGTGAGCAGAAGCCAATGATGGCAGCAACCAGAGCTTTGACTGCAATCGATGTCCAAGGTCCAATGCTTAGGATGTGCAACAAGCCTTCCAGCCAAACACCCTTAAATATGGTCACGACCAACAATATGGAGACTAGTGGCTTTAGTGCCTTGTTGAGATCGTGGCGTGTGAACAACCAGATCAACGTGGCAGTTGATAAATGCTGGACGAGCATCACGTTGGACTCCAAGCACTTCTGTATATAGATCCAGCTGAACTCGGTGCCACGTGCGCCTACCCACAACATAATGCCACGTGACAGTATGACCTCCGCAGTWGCCCCTGAAATGAATGAATGAATAATTAATTTAACTTAATTGAAATCCTGGAGATTGTAACCTTACAGCCCAATCCAGCGGTGATTAATTTCGAGTGGCCCTTGCCGGGTATGCGACTCAGTATAAGTGCAAAGCCAAGTAGATCGGCAATATCCACGCTGCAGCGCAGTATTTCCTACAAGAACATGCCACATATTTAAACCGAATAATAAATATTTCATAATCTGAATTGCATACCGCGAAAAAGTTAAATTCTCCGTTACTCGAAGATGAGTCCGAATAGAAGAATGTAGCTAATACGAGCATTTTACAGAGCTGTGTGAATATATAAATGCAGCCTGCCTGCACACATTTCCAGAACGCACCATATTCCGACCTGAAAAATATTTATCAATTTTAACAAATGTTTATTGATTAATGGTTTGATTTATTGGTTGCCCTAATTCAAATTATATATTACTTACAGGCCCGAGTATTTGTAGGTGAAATAATATGGCAGTAGTAGTGCAACACAATTTCCAAAGTGATACAGCGTCATTTTCTTTTATAAACCTTGACTTTTTCGGTTAATTATGTTAAAACATTAATTTATAGTACAAATTGGCACACGAGACGAAATGAATGAAAAAAACACTGGGTAAGAGGAAGAACGGCGAGAGAATGCAGCAGCTGTCAATTGTTGCCGGTGGCGCTGCCAACTCACGATATTTGGTGTAGTTAAATACCAATTTTATCTATGTAAATAAGAAAAACAAACAATAATCCTTCAAAATATGGTCAACTTGTTTAACTCAATATATGCCAAATGACTTTTTTGTATTGAAAACTCATATTTGGCGCTTACTTCACACAACTATATCTACTTAAATAAAATTGTATTAATAATTTAGTTTGGTATTTTATATTTATATGGTATTTGATTGAGTTGGCAGCTCTCTTCGCCAGCAACACGTCATCTGTCATCTGGGATGGCTTGACTGTGCATGTGTGGGTATGACTGTTTTTTTTTATTAGTGCAAAATATCTAGGAAACTCATAATTCAATCGCAAAATTCCACAGAATAATTTGTGAGAAATTTATAAATATATATTTAACGTGGATACAAAATTGAATTAAGAACTGCAGCACATGCAAGTAAATCGCCAGAAGGGTAAATTAATCCAAGTCGTAAAACAAGAAAGCGAAGAGCTGTGCATGACGAATGCAAAAAGCAACGTCAACAACAAATACATTAACAAAAGCAATACGAAGGACAGGGATCTAAGCAACTAAGAACCTTGACTTGAAATGAAATGCAAACTCGACGCCGTCATCAACAAACGGACCAGCAGGAATTCAGCAGCAATTACAGTGTCCAGCAATTGCCACAGCAGGAGCAACTGCAGCAGCAGCAGTCGCTAATCCATCCTGGCCAACAGCAGTTGTTGTACGTAGCTCCACCATCGGAAGCTGCCATTAATATTGGCGAACCTTCTTCGAGTGTCGACGCAGACGACAAATACGACAAGGCCGCCCGTCAGTGGAACTTGTTTAGTGGCATTTCGTCACGCTCTGGCCAGGCGCTGCGCACTTTCATACAACAGCCATTGAGCGCCGCTGCGGCTGTTGTTACAGGCAATCATCCCAATCAGCCGCAAAGCTTAGATAATAACAATAGCAGCAACAGCTACGAGAAGAGCGTCTACAATTTCGGAGGTCACCCGGCACAGGTTGAAACTGAAGAAATCGAGGAGCCAGAAATATTCATAATGGCTGCAAGAGATCGTACGGGCGAGTTTGCCAATGCGATTCGTTCGCTACAATCACGAAACATCACACGAGCGGTCAATATACGAGATCCGAGGAAGGCCAAACAGGTGCAGAGCTATTCGGAATTTATGATGGTTGCCCGCTTCATAGGCAAGAATATTGCCAGCACATATGCGAAACTGGAGAAACTTACCATGTGTAAATTAATCAATTATACATATCTATTCTCTATTTATAGAATTAACCGTTATTCACTTGCTTGCAGTGGCCAAAAAGAAGAGTCTATTCGATGACAGACCGCAGGAGATTCAGGAGCTGACCTACATCATCAAAGGTGACTTGAATGCATTAAACCAGCAAATAGCCAAGCTGCAGGACATCTCCAAGGATCAGCGCCGCACCACAAATGGCAAGCACCTCGTCTCACATTCCTCCAATATGGTGCTTGCTCTGCAATCTAAATTGGCCAGTATGAGCACAGACTTCAAGCAAATCCTTGAAGTACGTACGGAAAATCTCAAGCATCAAAAGTCAAGACGTGATCAATTCAGCCAAGGTCCTGGACCTTTGGCAGCGCACACCGTTTCACCATCGACCGCCAAGCAGGGTTCACTGCTGCTCAGCGAGGAGAATCAAGCGGTTAGCATAGATATGGGCGGAACAGAAGCGACGCCCCTACTAGGAGCTAGTTCACATCTCCAGCAGCAGCAGCAGCTGGCCATCTACGATGAATCCGATTCGTATGTACAACAGCGTGCTGAGACAATGCAGAATATTGAGTCAACAATTGTGGAGCTTGGAGGCATCTTTCAGCAGCTGGCGCATATGGTTAAAGAGCAGGAGGAGATTGTTGAGCGCATCGATACTAATGTGGCGGATGCGGAGCTAAATATTGAGGCAGCGCATGGCGAAATACTCAAATATTTTCAATCCGTTTCCAAAAATCGTTGGCTTATGATTAAGATCTTCGGTGTTTTGATATTCTTCTTCCTGTTCTTTGTTGTTTTTATGTCATAATTAATGCTAAATACTAACCCAATTCTAAATTATTGTGAATACATATGGCATACACCTATATACATATATATGTAATATATTTTTATCGAAATGGAGATATGTACAAAGGTATATTCTTGATTCAAATTCAAGCCGTTTGTAAAATAAAGTTAAATCAAGATACGTACGCCAAATTTCATGTTGGGCAATTACATTTATGCAGATAGGGCTAGTTGGCAGGCAGCCAAGGTTTGATAAGAACTTGTTTGTAATCTTTATGATGTTTAAAGTGCTGTGGCCCGTATACAATTGGTTTAGATATCTTAACAGTCCTCTGTTTCAATGGATAGGTAGCTTAGTCGAATATGCCGCTATCTCGCAAGCTATTTAGAATATATAGAAATTAAATGTTATAAATATTTGGCGTATAGTTCTTAAATAACATTAACATCTTATGTATATTCATAATTGTAACTGACTAGTAATGCTTGCTGCCGATGACTTAGGCAATAGATTAGATGGAAGATAGTGTTAGAGATATAACTTTAAGTGTAGCCTACGTCTAAGATAACATTACCAGATACTAGCCTACTACTAGAATTCGTCAAGGTCGAGTCGAAGTCCTCAGTAAGCCGCATTCACTGTAGCGTATGAGTTTTACTTTGTAAAAGTAGCAACAAATTAAAATGGATAAGTTTTACCTTCAATGTAGTTCTTAATACTTCCATAAAATAAAGTAAATGTTACAATAATTTCTGTTAGTTTACTGTATTTATTTTTTCTGAGGCTTCAACTACCAAATGCAAAACTAAGTAAATTATATTTAAAAAATAATAATAAAAAAACCATTAGAAATCTACGCAGACGTTTCCTTGTTATGGTTGACATTATGAATAAACTAGCAAATTTTTACATTTAAAAACATTCTTCGCTCCCAAATGGAGTTGTGTAGGACTGGTTAGGCGTGTGTGTGTATGTGTGTCTGTCTGTGTGTGCGCGTGTGTATGTGTGTAGATATATATGCGGATGTAGATGTAGAAGATGCTCTAGTGCCAACAATGAGATCCCCAGGCAGCTGCCCTTTTTATACCCTCTTATGTTGAGATGAGCGAATAAACCATGCTAAAATTAGCAGAAAAACGAAAACAGAACGTTAGACAAATGCAAAATGATATTTATAAGCATAAGTAATTACCCGTATATATAGTAGAAGAAGCTGATCAAGTAGACGGCTAATTTAATCCAACCCTCGCGCAAATTCCGCGATAATGTGTCCGTCTTTAAAACCGTAGTGGGATCATATAAACCAGGACCCGACATCAATGGACGATTCTTGTAGCTGCAAGCCAATTATCAAATCAATTGATGTAATCATGATTAATCCTATGGTGATACAACTTACCGCCATATATGGTAGGCTATTAATGGTATATTGAGGCAAAGTGAATACCATTCTCCGCAGAATAAGAAAAGTAAATTTAAGAAAAAGTGCAGAAAATATTCCGGCAAAACCAGCTGTAAAAATTCAAAATGATTAGTCATTGCTTAAGTCACACTCCAAACTAATATTCACATATATATGTGTGTATATATTATATATTCTCTTACCGGGTTGAGACTATTGCACTGATCGATTGGATTTTTATAATCTGTTTTGAGCTCATCAAATGCAATCACATGAAATATCGCGAAAAATATTAGAAATGCATCGCCAATGAGCGCCACAATATACGTGAAAGCGGTGAAGTTGAAGGCCATTGTTTATAGCGGCTTGATACTAAAATACTTCTGGGTGTTATTTGAAAGCTAATAAAATATATATTACAGATGTTTATTTAAATTGTTTTGTTATAATTACGCACTGGTACTGCTACATGAGTGTGTGAGTCGTGTAGAATGATGACAGCTGTGACTGTCGCTTAATTTTTCGCCCTAATGCTATTAACAGTGCGTGCCAGTGTCGCCCTACTTGGGTTTTATGAAAATGTTTTGAATAAAATTTATTTGCAATTTCTGTATAAACTATTTCATGAAAAATCTACTTAAACCATATTTAGACAACTTTGAAGAAAATCATGGCTCTATTATATATTGAAATCTGTTAGTCATATAACAAACACAAAACGACTCTGTTAAGGGTGTGTCGCTGTAAACAGCTGGAAGCCAGGGCTATTATAATAAATGTTGCTCAGAGCTTCGATAATAATATGAAAGAAATTAATTTTTGAAATCTAATATCTTAATTTAGTTTAAAAGGTAATATTCAATTTGCTTCACTTTGTTCTATTTTTAGAAAGCGTTCAGAAGAGTGAAATAAGCTCACAAGCGCGCTATTATTATTCCGTTGCGTGCATTGTGCAGCCCTGGTATTGTTTGCCGCGGAATTTTCATATCCAATGCATTTCCAAACCGCCATTGCAATTTTTGACAGCCGAGCGAACACAGACTATATTTAACAACGCCTGTGCAATCAATTTTGTGATAAATAAATACAAATAACAACTGAACTAGACAAACTGAGACGATAATATTTTATGTGAAAAATGTCTCAATTCAATTTTGTGAGTGATCTGCAGAATGCTTTGATCATGGATGGAGAGACGCGTGGTCCTGCGCCCCGCTGGAAGAAGAAGCTGGAAGCCTCGCTCAATGGAAGCGTGAATACAACACGCTCCGTGCTATCCGTTTCATATAATACGAGCTTTTCCGGAGTACAAGCACCAACCAAAACGCCAGGCAAAAGCTCTGACGCAAAGACTAAAAAGAGTACAACGACGCCAACGAAGACACCAGGAGGAGGAGATCGTTTTATACCCAATCGTGCAGCCACCAACTTTGAATTGGCACATTTCTTGGTAATTAGCATTAATATAATACAAATTTATGGAGAGGTTACCATATAGAACGTCCTATTTGTAGGTCAACAAAGACACGGGCGATAAGTCCGATGAGGACCAAGAGCAGCAGCCAACGAGCAGCAACGAGAATAATGTCCAGGCATCTGCTCATAAAGGTGAACGGCAGAAACTGATTGCCGAGGTGGCTCAGGTGGGCGAGAGCAGCAAAAGTGGACGCATATTGTGCTATCAAAACAAAGCACCCGCTGCTCCCGAGTCCCATACAAATCCTCTTAAGGTGGTGTACTCCTTGAAGACGCCCATATCGACGAAGAGCGGATCGCGCTATATACCGACCACATCGGAGCGTATACTCGATGCGCCAGATTTTATCAATGATTACTGTAAGTATTTGTATATCATCTATGGTATTTATGCTACATTTTGTGCTCTACTTAGATCTCAATCTCATGGACTGGAGTGGCGATAACATTGTAGCCGTTGCATTGGGCAATTGCGTTTACTTGTGGAATGCAGCGAGTGGAAATATTGAGCAACTAACCGAGTATGAGGAAGGAGATTATGCCTGCGCGCTCTCTTGGATCCAAGAGGGTCAGATCTTGGCTATTGGCAATAGCAGTGGAGCTGTAGAGCTCTGGGACTGTTCGAAGGTGAAACGCTTGCGTGTGATGGATGGACATAGTGCTCGTGTTGGCTCTCTGGCATGGAACTCATTTTTAGTTTCATCGGGCAGTCGGGATGGCACGATTATACATCACGATGTGCGCTCGAGGGAACACAAAGTAGGCTCATTAAATGGGCATGCACAAGAGGTGTGCGGTCTGAAGTGGTCCACGGATTTCAAGTACTTAGCTAGTGGAGGCAATGATAATCTAGTGAATGTCTGGTCCTTAGCTGGGAGTGGCGTAGGCACCGCCACTGACCCACTGCACAAATTCAATGAACATCAGGCAGCTGTACGAGCCCTTGCATGGTGTCCCTGGCAGCCCAATACCCTGGCATCTGGTGGCGGTACAGCGGATCGCTGCATCAAATTCTGGAATGTATGCAACGGCTCACTTATCAAGTCTGTAGATTCCAAATCTCAGGTGTGCTCTCTGCTCTTCTCGCGGCACTACAAGGAGCTGATTTCTGCACACGGCTTTGCCAACAATCAATTGACCATCTGGAAGTATCCGTCGATGGTTAAGCAAGCCGACCTAACTGGACATACATCGCGTGTCTTGCAGATGGCCATGTCACCCGATGGCAGCACTGTGATAAGCGCTGGAGCTGATGAGACATTGCGGCTATGGAACTGCTTTGCACCCGATCCAATGGCAGCCAAAAAGGTGTCCACTGCCGGTAGCAATGTAAAGAAGAGCGTCTTTCGACAGAGCATACGTTAGGGATGCAAAGAAGACGAGTCTTCTGAGAGATGGTAAATGGTGGATCCGAAGAGGAATTTCTTAGCAGAGCAAATGCTAGAGGCAGATTCTCTTCCAACAAAGAGCTGGCAGATTTGAAGAGCTACTCACCCAACTATTCGAGACTAGATAAAACTATTTGTATTTCGATTAAGCTAGCAAACAAACAATATTAATTCAATTGTTATTTTTTAAGACTTTCTTGCTAAGCCAATTCATATTTTATAATTATGTGACTTGATATGTGTGTATTTTGATGTATATTTAAGTTTTGTGCATTTTATTTTATATTTGTAAATTGAAGATTGTACAGAAGACATCAATGATATGATTGCTGTTCATTCAATTATGTGACGACTATTTGATATATTTATTTAAATTGCATGTTCATGATTTATAAATAAAATGCTTGCCATACTGCAACCTTTCTTGTTTTATTCACTTATTTTGACAGGCTTACATGGTAAACAATATTTCTTTTTTTTTTTTTTCCTTTTTATATAATTACTCTTTTTGTGTTTGGGTACAGATAGTTGCAGGTGCTTTTTATTTTTTAACTCCATTGATTTATTTTGTGTTTTTTTGTTCGTCGCGTGTGTGGAACGTGTCAAAAATATCTCGTGTCAGCATAGTTTGTTGCCTTTCTTCAGCAGCTGTTATTGGAATTATAGCGTTGCTAAATAT